TCTGTGTATCCTTCCTCTTCTTGATAATATAATCCACTATCATAATCTTGGTCATCTAATGCTGTTGTTAATGATGTTTCTTGCAGTTGTTGTTGAACAGATGTCTCATCATTGTCATCGTCATCGTCATCATCATCCTCGTCCTCGTCCTCATCATCATCATCGTCATAACGTTTATTGTATATTGATTTGCGTATAGACGATATTTTGTATTTTTTACTATTTCCTTGAGTTTGTACTTCTATTAAGTCGTCGCCTGAACGTTTTAATTTTCGTGGATTTGAGCTAAATTAATTTATAATTTATTTATTAATAATAAGAAAATGCAAAAAGGCTAAAAGATATGTGAAATATATACCTTTCATTACCGCTTTCAGTTTCGCTATCTGCACTTGTATCACCCGATTCGAGAATTTCTTCATCGACTTCTTTTTCAAAACTATCCCAATCTATTTCCAAAAAATGCTGTTGCACTTCTTCAGCACTAATTTTGGGCTCATAGTCTTCTTTTGGCGAAGAGTTTGTACTCGATTGTTCTAGAAGATATGGTTCCTCAGGTTGTCGCGCCCAATTTTTTATAGAGTCGAGAAGCCTATACGAATAAGGCGACAATACTACAAAGTTATTTAATGAATAAATTTTATCTAACATGAAATCCTATTTTACGTACCATTCTGTGCGGACGATTTGAATGTTTCCTCGGCTGCGCGCTTCTTTAACCTTATCAGTTCCTCTCTGCAAAATCATGTCATTAATTAAACAAATAAAACCTTAAACTAGTCAATCTAAAGAAAGAAAGAAACTCGGGATACCTCGCCAGCCACAAGGTGGGTAATTTCATCAGATATTGTTTCAAAGCATTGAGCCCCGAAACTTAATGCCAAATTCCAGATATCGGAGCTGTAGATTCCATAAATAATTGTATTTCAACATTGATAGCGACAATGAATAAGCACGATTGCATTTGAAATTTTCACTAACCTTTCCTTGGGCTGTTTAGTTGGTATTACATGTGTGAACACAAGTTTTATTCCCCGTAATACAACTGATTTCATTGCTGGTATTATTTTCTATAAAATAAAAATAAAAATCAAGACAATAAGGATGGTGTTATTTGATAAAACATCTGAATAGTAATACGAAAAAAAACAATGACTAAACACCGTGACGTCAGCAGGTTGATTGTTTTCGAAAGCTTCATAATATCTTATATGAATATCTTTCAGTATCTATGAAAATTAAATAAGAATTAAAATCTGTGCAGGATAAGATAATGGACATAAATAATTGTAGCCTATTTACAGTTAACAGCTTTGGAAGTTCTGCGTCATCGTCGATAAGTACTGGATCTTCTCGATTATGCGTTGATTGTTGTTCCAATTGCGCTAGAGGGCGATCATGTACTTGTTTTTTGATTTCCTGTTCTTGTTGTTGTAACTGACTATTTTCGTCTTCTGGCTGTATTGATTGTTGTTTGATGCGTGTTATATCTTGATCCTTTGTTTCATCTTGATCCTTGGTCTCATCTCGATTCTTGATTTCATCTAGATCTTTGATTTCGTCGCCTGATTCTAAGAGTGTAATTATCAGTTATATATATGAAGAAATTGCTATCTATATCATTATATATCTACCTTGTTTTAATTTCTGCGCATTTTCATTTTCTTTATCTTGGCTGTTATCCGATTTGTCTGCGGCAGAAGAATTAGAAGTCTCGGAATGAGCTTCGTGTTTATTGGTTGTGTTTTCTGCCTGTGTTGACGGGTTCTCGATATTATTGCTAGTTTCCGGCGAAGGAGAACTATTTAACGATGAATTCTTTGTTATTAATAATAAAAACATTTTTATTATTAAATTTGTTTAGATTTTTTTTATATTGTGATAAGTTTGAAAATAATTTCAATATTTACCTGTTTGGGCAGAAATGACGCGTTTATATCACCAATGCCGACAAAGAAGCCATCTGAAGTCACAAATGATGGGTTTAAGATTTGTCTGGTAATTAAAAAAAAAGATATAAAGGATATAGACTTACAAGGATTGACTTTAATAACATTTGGGGCCCATTGCCATACATCTGCTCGGTCATCAATCACTACTGCCATAGAATCATCGCATGGAAATAATCGTCGAATGTTTTTATGTATCATGCCTTTTAGAGCAAGGAAGTAAGATAATTGATTTCGGGAATAGAATAGGAAATGTTTGAATGAAAATCAATAATCATGTTGTGTATGATATTTACTTCCACTTTCATCACGAGACAAAATACGTTCACTGAATATTTCTTTGTTTGGATCTATTATATTTGCTACGGCTTCAGCGTAGTGACGCGTGCCCATCGTATATATATGAAGTTCATAGTATTCTGAAATCTCTCTTAAAAATTCCTTGAGCCCTGGTCTATTATTATTGGTTATTCAATATCTTTTAGAAAGCATACTTAAAATAAGATATTATGTACTTACCGTATTTTAACATAAAAAATCGTGGGATTGTC